CTCCGCGTAAAGACAGCCCACAACCGAACCGCGTTCTCATTCGGTCGTCTTTATCCCATTACCTGCAAGCGAAGTGAATTGTCTCTCGTGTCAAGGTTACACACTACAAAACTTGGATACGTACGGTCATGACTTATCCAAATGTAATGTTTATGCACGCGGCCCGGGCCCACATTATCCAGGTCGTTCAATCCCGTTTTTATAGAACAGTCTTTGGAGCACTATGGTACGTACAGTATGAGGAAACAACACAGTATGAGGAAATCCGTAGAATTAGATCTGCTATGTGAGTATCAGAGTTCGAGAAATCGGCCCGGTGCGATAAGCCTCTTATCGTGGCCGCCGCAAAATTCATTTCCGACTCAGGCGACGGGGCAACGCAAAGCCGCCGTCGCCCTAAGCATGTCCTGTCAGATCCTCCCGATCTACTCTCGCTGATTTTAGGTACTGTAAGCTTCATTTATCATTCGATGCGCTCTCCAAGAGTTCGGCGGGAAACTTAGTCCATAGGCACAACGCACTGAGTTTCTCGCCGGTTCTTCTCAGTGGATCGGGATTTTAATCCATTAGTAGATTCAGAGAATCTCTGCTCTTTCTAAGGCAGATGTTAGTAAAGTCTCTCAGGTTGACCTCAACTCCTTACCTCCGCCTTGAGGCTAAAAGCGATTAGGTGAGAAAAAAAATAGAAAGCGCATTTGCCAAATATCAGTTAAAATTATTCACATATTGGAATCAAATGTAAATAAAAAAATGCGACTAATCTAATTCCGTTGTTAATTTTTAAGTAAGAATTTAAGTTACGNAGAGAATCTCTGCTCTTTCTAAGGCTGATGTTAGTAAAGTCTCTCAGGTTGACCTCAACTCCTTACCTCCGCCTTGAGGCTAAAAGCGATTAGGTGAGAAAAAAAATAGAAAGCGCATTTGCCAAATATCAGTTAAAATTATTCACATATTGGAATCAAATGTAAATAAAAAAATGCGACTAATCTAATTCCGTTGTTAATTTTTAAGTAAGAATTTAAGTTACGTGATGGTCGGCGCTTAGTTTAGCGCGAGTAGTTTGTTTTTGTTTTTCCTATCTATTCTAGTAACCTCGAGGGGTTATTCTAGATTCACCGAGCTCGTAGGTGAGCTCACGGGGCTCAACCGGGAGTGTTGCTAACACTGGCCCTAGCAAGAGTAGTGCTTCGCAAAATCTAACACCGGATCGGAATCGCGACCCACTGAAAATGTCCGGCGAGAAACTCAGTGGGCTGTGTCTATTGATTAATTTACTCGTCGAGCCTTCGTCGGAAGCGACTGGTTTGGTGAGGATGGTGACCAGTGCTTGAGGTACCTAAAAGCACCGTTAATGAATCGGGAGGATCCGTAATGACGTGCTTAGGGATTTGTTTCATTAAGTTTGTATACATATACGTCGCGTCTTAAATATTCACCAAAGTAATAAACGCTTTATTCAAATATGTATACAAGTTTGACATGGAAATGATCGTCAATTTTGAGTTCGGGAATTTCACACAAAATCTATGAGGCAAGTTTGCGCCATGGATTTATAATTTTTCGATGTACTAGATGATACAACGTTATAAATATTTATTTATTCAGTTGTCACCTCAGTCTGATTACTATAAATTGGTAACGAAACTATTATGAAAGTTCCTTAGACGGGTTTTATGTAACCTAGAGTAAAGGCCCACTCATGATTTTACAGGTGAACTCTTAGATTCCTAAGCTTATAAATACCGAAGATTCAATTTTCTTCATGTTTAAAAATGACTAACGCTTAGCTTATTGATGTATATAATGTCTAGTGACCACTTGTTAAATCCAAAAGACAACATTTTTAAACAAAAAAAAAACATTTAAACAAATTAATAATAAAAACTCACTATTATTCTTTTTGGCTATTTAATTTAATTATTATTATTATTATTTTTCCCAGGTCAATAATACAGTTTCCACGTTTAGGTACTGGTGGTATGGCGTCTTGTGAGACCACACGTGTAAGTACCACCACCCTGCCTATTTCTGCTGTGAGCAGTAATATGTCTCGGTTTGAAGGCTGAAGGAAAGAATTAAAAAAACTTTTATGCAAACTGTAGTGGACTGTAGGATTATGATTGGCAAGGAACTTAATAAATAAACTCGCGAGGATTGCACTTATAAATTTTTATATTTTAGAAATTTTATGATTCGCGTACAATAGCACGGAAAAAAGAAAATGACAAATCTAAGATATTCCAAAATTCAAAATTCTAATGTAATGTCAAAAACCACAACCACAACAATAAAAAAGGTTTTATACCAATTTGTTGGGTTTCCATCACAAACTACTGCCAAAAAGCAAACTTGCAGAAGAATTTGCTTGTTATCTAATTGATATTTTTAATACATTTGAAGCCCCCAGTGTACTGCAAAGTGGCGTGTAAAGGGTACAGTCTGAAAGGGTATGTAAGCATAGCCAGACTCAAGGTCCGATTGAATGTAAAAACCAGGATATTAAACAGTGGGCAGCAGCTTGGCTCTGCCTCTGACATTGCTGACGTCTATGAGAGACGGTAATCACTCATCATAAGGTGGGCCTTAAGCTCGTCTATCTAAAAGAGCGATTCTTTTTTTAATATTGTAAATATGCAAAGTTCTTGACTTGACTGGAAAGCAATCGTACCATTAAATGGTCCGAAGGATTACATTTTGTTCAATTTATTAAAAATAGTGTATTTCATGAAGGCATCTTTAAGCGTTCTCGCTGCAATGCTTGGAACACCAGCAAACTTTGGCTTGAAAACGTCTTATTTACGTCTTTAAATGACTCTATTGAACATCTTAGAACTATAGAATAGCTTCAATTATTTGTCGAGTACTAGCTGACCCGGCAGACTTCGTAGTGCCTCAATTGATAACTAAAAGACCTAAACTTTTGTATAAAATAAACTTAAAACAAGCAAAAGGAATCCGTCCGACGGGGGACACATCAAAGGAAAAACAAAATTGTTATTTTTATTTAATTCCGAGCATTTTCATATTTATCTACCTTTTAAACCTTCTCTGGACCTTCACAAATAATTCAAGATCAAAATTACCCAAATCGGTCCAGCCGTTCTCGAGTTTTAGCGAGACTAACGAACAGTAATTCATTTTTATATATTTAGATAGATACGTTCCATTAGTTTTAAACTATGAAATTTGACGCTTCTAGTAAATAGTGTTTTTGTATTGGTATCCTTGTTGAGTTTATGAACTGAGGCAAAGCTTAGATTGTCGAAATTTCAATAAAGTCTTTGAGACGTTCCAAGTAAATATAGTGCATTATTTATGTCACGTAACAAAAACGTAGTACAAAGATTTATTAGATGAAATTGAATATTGCGTGACTGGTTTTTATTAACTGGACCATGCTGCATCTATCATATTAATAATATCAAAAAACAATTTTGGTACTTGTGGCGTTTTATTATGAGTGGACTGTATTATTAGTTTGGTATTATTATTAGTTCATAAGTGACAAATTAAAGAATTTAAAATTAATGAATATAAGAAATATGATATAAATGTGTCGCCCTTGGCGGCTGCTAATGAAAAGGGGAAAAGTGTCATAGCGGACGTCGCTCGTTGACACTTTTGACGTTCCGAATTATTCAAACAGTAGTCAATCATGAGCACTCATGAACACATACGTAGACTTAGAAAGACTGATATTATTACGTGTCCCATCTCGATCCTGCGATATTTGTATAAAAATCCCAAGAGATGGCTACTTAGTATCACATTAAAATTATTTTATTGCTTTGCTCAAACTCAAACCATAACTTTATTAATAAGACAAACATAAAACGCTACGAAGTCAGAAAGAATCAGAAAATACAGTCGTGACCTTTGATTATAAAAAAAAAGTTATATGTCGATAACAATATATCTTTTGGACATTCGAAGTGGGTAATTCGATTATGCCAATTCCCATATGTATTCCATTTCTAGTCATATCTACAAGTTTGGTAAAAGGATCATGTTTACATTGAGTTATGTAGGAAAAATATGCGAGTCCTGTGTAATATTCGGATTAAGTTCTGTGGGAATTGGGTAGCGATGTTCGAAAGTGGAATTTTGAGAGAAATAACATTTTTGATTAGCTCCGAATAATATTTAGGTTTATACAAGAAAAACACAGACCTAAGCTAAAATTTAATTATTTAGCTGGCTGGCTGACAAGAGGCTTCATTAATCATGTCTGTAATTTGAAATCAAAAGGGTGTGTGTGTTCAAAATTCGACACGCATTCCATTCAATAGTGAACCGAACGTACGAACGAAATACGTACTTAGCAAATGTTCACCATTGCCGTCCATGGTGATGGTATAACATCGTGTAGTAAAAATCAAACACGCAAATTATATCTTGCGTAATTAATGGTGGTAGGACGTCTTGTGAATCCGCACAGGTAGGTACCACCATCCTGCCTATTTCTACCGTGAAGCAGTAATGCGTTTCGGTTTGAAGGGTGGGGCAGCCGTTGTAACTATACTGAGATCTTAGAACTTATACCTCAAGGTGGGTGGCGCATTTACGTCGTAGATGTCTATAGGTTCCAGTAACCACTTAACACCAGGTGGGCTGTGAGCTCGTCCACTCATCTAGCACTAAAAAAAAATCTAAAGCACCACATTTTCCCTCAACCCAAATAATTCACAATCGAACTCCGAAATCAAATGTACGTTAAAAGTTCGACACGTCTGCAGTAAGCCCGCCAAAGGTCCAGCACAATGGCCATTAACGCGACGCTTTCGCGAAATAAACGCGCCCGACCAGGTGAATAGAATCGCGTAAAGTAACACATTCGCTACATTCAAAACGGTTAAGTGGCCTATTGGAGCCCAAACTCCAAGATTCCCGTAGAATTTGTGGCTTATAAGCCCCATATAGATTTCACCCCTCAGCTGAGCTTTCGCTGTCTCGCTCGCCGGCCCGAGCCGAAAGCTTCAGTGCGTTGTGTTACGTGTAGCTGCCCGGACGGTTGTAGCAGACTCGGATCAAGATCGCGTACCGACTCGTCGGATATTAACTCAGTGACGTGTCTGTGCTCCGTGAAGTGCCTGTGAAATATTAATTAGTAAATTTTGTAGTTGTGCCCGTGAACGTATTTGCGCGCAGATTCACGGAATCCGTACACAGTATCGGGTAAGTTTAATTTATTTGTTTATTATAAAGCTACTCGGGTCCATCATAAGCCGATCTTAGTATTCGTAACGCGAGAATTTAAACTTCGAAAGCTTTGGAAATTAATTTAATCATTTTTTATTTATTATTGTTTTAGAATTTTAAATAAAATTTTAATTTGTTGACGGTATACCTTAGAGAGAGAAAGAGAGAGAGAATACACTTTATTGCACACCAAAACACAATTTACTTTTCTTCTAGATCTCTTCCAGACAACCGTTTAGTTTACAGAAATTCTGGAAAATATAAAAATATAGCAGGTATGTTGCGGTGTACTAAAGACAATTTAAGCACTGAAGTTAGAAATATCACTTACTGTGTGCTCTGCCGTTCATCTTGCCTGTTTAAATCTAACTATTGGATTTCAAATATGAGACAGCAGTTAGATAATAAAATTGGAGCCTTCAGCTTCATTTCTAAAGATGGATGGTAGCATTTATGTCGTGGGCTCTGGTGCCCACATAACACAATATTGGCTGTGAGTTTATCCATCCATTAAGAGTAATCTAAATAAATGTAAAATTATAGGTACTGTAAATACTCTACATGCTATATGTAACATTTTTTTATTCACGAAGCAGCTGCTCTTGAATTGTTTGGTGTCCTATGGAGGCGCTCGGCCAACTGTTAGAAAATCCCACTCCGCCTGGCTAAGACTTGGGTCGCCTACATGTCCTCGTGAAACTGGAAAGGCCTTCGGGCCATCAGTAATGTTTCCTTTCCAAAAAAAGTAACAATTTTAGGTGTAAAATTAAGTTCTGAGGGGGTAGAGGCCGCGCGGCGCGCTACCAGCACTCTAGCGCGCTGCTGTGAAGTAAATAGAGCGACCGGTCGACTTTGTATCGCGTCCCGACCCGGCAGGCTGGTGTTCTGGTCCAGCGGGGTATTCCGGGACACCAGCGGCACCGTCTGGGCGGCCTGACGGGCTGCCGTACCGAGACGGCCGACGTTTCAGAGCCTTCGATTCGCCTTCGCATTCGAAAACCATCAAACCAGATGCTTCTAGATTACCTTGATAAATATATGCATGCAAAATAAGGTCCAGAGACTAAAGCTATAAAGTATAAAGTACTTTAAAACTGGAACTACTTGATTTGTCGCACAGAGAAAAGTCAACGGGGCTCTTTATTGGATCCGGCAGAGAAGTGTATTTTTGCAGTAGATCTTGTATTAAATTGAGCTAGTTCGTTTGTGTCCTCAATACTTAGACTGCTCTTAACTTATCTTATGGGAATCTTGGCTGGTAGTGAATATCAAAAGTCAATGAACCAAGGTGTAGAAGTAAATAAAGCTTCAAGTTAAAACACACCACATGCGGGTAAGCTTTGGGCAAGCTCCTAATTAAACAGGCAAAGTAAATAATGACCTAATTCAAAAGCCGAGTAGTCTACGAGTGCTTAAGCTTGACGAGCTTTTGTACTTCTAAACGAGCGGACTTTAAGGAGTTTCTGAGAAAATTCTCAAACATGAATTCCGAATGTTGAGGACAGTTATTTAAAAACTCTTTTCGTTATCACCAAAAATACGGCAACGTTATTGAAGTCAAAGTCGCTAGTCATCGGTAAGACTAATGGAAAAAGCTCACAATATTAAAAGTCCGATATGTCGATCGGATCACATTTTTGCGGTGTGTTGATCTGATTCAACATCAAAGGCTTTTGATAGGTGGCGATAGTCGTTTAGATGTAGGGAATGGTCCTCCTGAGAGAGATAATGTGAGTTTCAATGTGTTTGATGGCATGATTATATATCTGAATAATTAGGCGTGATATAATGAATAATTGAATTAACTATACTTGAGACCTTAGAACTTATATCTCAAGGTGGGTGGCGCATTTACGTTGTAGATGTCTATGGGCTCCAGTAACCACTTAACACCAGGGGGGCTGTGAGCTCGTCCACCCGTCTAGGTAATAAAAAAAAAAAAGCGTAAGATAAATGTTTAAGAAATAGATTTTCCGACGAGAGAGCAATGCCATTTCGATCCAGGCCGCATTTCCAAATCGACAGTCATGTCCTTCTTCAAACGAGGCTTGTGGAGAGTATTAAGCAGTAGGCAGCGGCTTGGCTCTGCGCCTGGCATTGTTGAAGTCCATGGGCGACGGTAACCACTTACCATCAGGTGGGCCGTACGCTCGTCTGCCAACAATGGCAATAAAAAAAAAAGTCATTGTCAAATGGCAATACAATGCCAAACATACCAATTCTCAATTAAAATCCAAATTTCTGAAACATTATTTCATTCCATACAAAATTTTATGAATAAAAATGGATTTTTTTTGCTTTCAATAAATCATTAAAATATCCGTTCGAGAAAGAAGTGTATTTTTGTTTCATCCTCATTCTGATGCGGAAACGGGGAAGCGTTATGACAGTCTTGTGGGAAATTGCCAGGGGCGTTATTATACCGGAATAAAAGGCCAGTTTTTATTAGTTATTTTGCATGAATCCTTTTATTTTTTTTAAATAGGTGGGCCGGCTCACGGTTCTGGTACCTGAACCCATAGATACCGACAACGTGAATGTAGACATCAGTAAACAAGAGATCTAAGTTTGACATATCTACATTGAAAAACATCAATCCCATGTTTCAAGTCGGAACCCAAAACTACAAATATTGATACCACCATCTCGTTTTTACTATCGCACCGTTCGCCACTGGAATAGAGTTCATCTATACTACCTGGAGCTACTGCGTTCATCCACAGTGCGCTTCCAGAGATCTTTTTTGCCACGTACCATCCGGCTTTGGAATGAGCTCCCCTCCACGGTATTTCCCGAGCGCTATGACATATCCTTCTTTAAACGAGGCTTGTGGAGTACTTAACGGTAGGCAGCGGCTTGGCTCTGCTCTTGGCATTGCTGAAGTCCATGGGCGACGGTAACCACTCACCATCAGGCAAGTCGTATGCTCATCTGCCTACAGGGGCAATAAAAAAAACATATTAGGCGAAACGAAGCGTGAAATCACAACACGTCGTATCTGTAATGGTTGGGCTTGTAAACGATTTCATTGCTCCGTCGGTGTCATCTCTGAACACGTCTAACATTAGGCATTAGAGAACGCAGGCCTCAGCCGTGGCCTAATGGCTCATAACCCACATCCATCGCAGAGCTCAATCAAAGAGTTCTTAGTTCCAGACTAGGCACGTATCATGTGATGTGTGAACGTCAAATTCGCACATGATTGCTCACAATATGAGTTCTAGGCAATGCTTTGTGATAGTATATTGTAGTAGAAGAAAGAATTGAGTTAGGGCACATTTAAACCTTAATAAAGGGACACACTGTGGTCACTGAGGTCAACATAATTATATTTATGTACGATTTGCTACCATTGACTTGCACATATACTATAAGTTTTATTATTTTTTGAACATTTGAATAAGAGTTGTGAAAATTCATATAGGTTTTTTTTCCTACCTATATGATAGCCTTGAGAGGCTATTTCAGCTTCTCCTTGGCGTGTAGGTGAGCTCACGGGGCTCAAACCGGGAATGTTGCTAACACTGGCCCTAGCAAGAGCAGTGCTTCGCAGAATCTACCACCGGATCGGAAACGCAACCCACTCAGAAGATCCGGCAAGAAACTCAGTTGCTGTGTCTATGGGTTAATTCACTCGTCGAGCCCTTCGTCAAAAGCGACGGTTTCGACGAGGACGGTGACCGGTGCTTGTGGTACCTAAAAGCACCGTTAATGGATCGGGGGGACTCGTAATGACGTGTTTAGGGCGACGTCTACTGTTTACCATTCGGTCTACAGGATTGGGTATGGATAGATAGCGTTGATTTTGTTCACTATGTATATAGTAATGAAACGACATAAATCTAATTGTAGTTTTCATTGGCATCGTTTTGTACACAGTGACATTGTATTCCGACCTTGTTACATAGATGGCGTTAGTAGTTAAAGCATTATTTTCTATACTAAATCCATCGATATTTTCGCTAACATCGATCTTATGTTTTGAATTAAAAGATTATAGAATAAATTACCGTGTACCAAGTCTTACAAGGATTTTAATAATAGCACAAAATGATTTAGACCGAACGCTCGGATCGAAGAAATCACTATTCGTAAATACGAAACCGTAGATTCCGGCGTGTCTGTATATTGAAGGAAAGCACTAAAAATAGCCCCTTTTCTGTTCTCTCAACTAATAGAACATAAATAAGCGATTTTTTGTAGTGTTTCAGAGTTTCAATGCGAAATTAATTTAGAACAGAATACAAAAAACAACACAGTTATCGTTATTTAAAGATTATTTAACGTTATCCCGCCATTTACTTTTACTAGTGGCCCCGCAGTAGTCGAGATCCGACTATAATTAATAGAAATTATAAGTTTGTATACTATTATGATTCCATTGTCAAAGACTATTTATTATACTTCTATAATCGCAGATTTCTTCAAGACTACACTTTAGTCAAATATTAATAAAGACAAACAATATTTAATCTATTCTCAACTTGAACACAGAGTTAGAAGTCGTCGTGGCCTAACAGATAAGACGTCCGGTGCATTCGTGTTGAGCGATGCACCGGTGTTCGAATCTCAGGCGGGTACCAATTTTTCTAATGAAATACTTACTCAACAAATGTTCACGATTGATTTCCACGGTGAAGGAATAACATCGTGTAATAAAAATGAAACCCGCAAAATTATAATTTGCGTAATTACTGGTGGTAGGACCTCTTGTGAGTCCGCGCGGGTGGGTACCATCACCCTGCCTATTTCTGCCACGAAGCAATAATGCGTTTCGGTTTGAAGGGTGGGGCAGCCGTTGTAACCTACTTGAGACCATGGAACTTATATCTCAAGATGGGTGGCGCATTTACGTTGTGGATGTCTATGGGCTCCAGTAACCACTTAACACCAGGTGGACTGTGAGCTCGTTCACCAATCTAAGCAATAAAAAAAAATATATATGCAATAGAAAAGTTTGACAATAAACAAATAGT